ATTTTAACTTTTAAAACATTTTAACAGCTCACGTTACATTTTAACATAGGACCCCTTATTTGATAGCAGCTTTACAAGTCTTGCATCCATTGAACTTGTGAGTTTTTGGACAGTTTCTGCTTGAATTTGTTTGCAAGATGTCAGAATAGCCTCCCAGAGCTGCTGTTTGGATGTAAACTGCCTCCCACCCTCATAGATCTTTTGCTTGAGGATGCTCCAAAGGTTCTCAATAGGATTGAGGTCAGGGGAGGATGGAGGCCACACCATGACTTTCTCTCCTTTTATCCCTATAGCAGCCATTGATGCAGAGGTATTCTTTGCAGCATGAGATGGTGCATTGTTATGCATGAAGATGATTTTATTACGGAACACATAGTTCTTCCTTCTGTATCAGGGAAGAAAGTGGTCAGTCAGAAACTCCACATACTTTGCAGAGGTCATTTCTACACCTTCGGGGACCCTAAAGGGGCCGACCAGCTCTCTTCCCATGATTCCAGCCCAAAACATGACTCCACCACCGCCTTGCTGACGTTGCAGCCTTGTTGGAACAGGGTGGCCGTCCACCAACCATCCACTACTCCAGCCATCTGGACCATGCAGGGTTGCACGGCACTCATCAGTGAACAGGACTGTTTGAAAATTAGTCTTCATGTATTCTTCTGCCCAATCCAGCCATTTCTGCTTGTGAGCATTGGTTAGTGGTGGCCAAATAGAAGGTTTATGCCCAATTGCAAGACTCTGGAGGACTCTACACCTTGATGTCCGTGGGACTCCAGAGGCACCAGCAGCTTTAAATATCTGTTTGCTGCTATGTAATGGTATTTTAGCAGCTGCTCTCTTGATCCGATGCATGGATCTGGCAGAAATCTTCCTCAACAAAATTGTCGCACAAAAGTACATATGTATATAAAATAGACATCACAAGCTATTTACTTAAGGTTATTTTGACACTTTTTAGATAGCCATTTCACCGCCAATCTCTGCTAAATATTCTAGTGAAATTGTGTTTTTCAGTGTTTTGACATACAAACTTATAACAAGGATCTTTTGATGGGTATTTCTTAAAGCTGATGTGTGCTATTCCTGAACAAAATTTAGTGTTCACCTACATCTGCGGAGTACAAGTTTATTTGCTAGTTTGTACCAAGTCTAGTAATAGTAACCATATTTTCTGCCTTTTTGACACACACACTTGGAGATGTTGCTGTATATTTTGCAATTCTTATGTGTGCTACAGCAGTATAACACTTAATATGTTGCTCAGCTATGTCATCTTAGTACAGCAAAACCCTATGTGTACCTCTTTCAAATATATGTGCATGTCGAATTGGCAAATTTGAGACAGACATTTCAGTTTTTTTCAAACTCTCAATTTTGATGCTGGTTCTACGGTGAATATGTAGCATTTTAACAGGTTGTTAAAATACTACCCCACCAAAGGCCTACCATTTCTTAAAGAAAATATTAATCACTGTCAACCTGCATCAAACTCTGAGGCACTGTCTGTCAACTCTCTTTTGCGGACAGAATTCTGAATCCGCCTCTGCACTGAATTTCCTAAGCATTTTAAACTTTTTACACAAGAACTTTAACTAAATAATGTTATTAATGATTTTATTTTTTTCAATTTCGTAACACTAAACTCTTCAATTTCCCATGAATTATCACCCATCCTAATTAACTACATAGAATTAAAAAATAAAAATAATAAAATAATCAGAGTCAGATGACAATTGCAGCATCCTCCCTTGGCTCTGAACGTTGTCAGCAATTAACGGTAGCACAAGCATGACGAAAAGTTTTCGTCGGACATCGTGAAATGGTTAAAAGATTAGTCCAAACATATATAGCACCTTACCTTGCTGAAATTCTTTATTTGCGACAAGAGTCTCAAGTGTGTTTCATTTTTAAAAAGTGCAGATTTTAAAAGAAATCAGAACTTTTAACAACAAATATTTTTATAAAAACATAGTACAGTATACAAATATGAAGAAAAGTTCCACCATTCCAAAAGTAACTCCCATGCAGATATGACATTGTAGAAATTGACAGTTTTATAAAATGAATGCTGATATACCTCCCTGGCTGTCAGCATCTTCTAGTTTAGCTCTGTGGGGCTAAATTCAAATGCAGGTGCTTGTGCACAGAGTATGTCTTCTCAGTAAGCTTAAATATAGCTCAAATCGCTATGATTATTCCCTTGCACAGATAAGAAAGTCTGTTAAGGGGATGAAGGGGTGGGCAGGCAGTAGCTGCAGATTCTATACAGGGCCGGTGCAAGGATTTTTATTTCTTTTATTGCATCAAAAAGGGTCCAGGGAGATCAACGTTTCAGTCCCTAACTGGGACTTTCATCAGGAAACGTTGATCTCCCTGGACCCTTTTTGATGCAATAAAAGAAATTTATTTAAAGAAGACCGTGAGTGCAGACTTATTACATACTTGGAATATACATAAACATATATATGTGTATAAATACACAAAACTCAATATATATATTTGCTTTTTTATGGATTGTTCCTTTAAAACCATAGATATGCATATACACAAAACACATATTATGTCTTATTTATTTGCTTATTTTAACCTATTTTTTTTTTTTTTGTTGTTCTAGCATCCGAACTATACTGATGTTCTAAGAGCGAAATTCCTGTAACGTGTATTATCAACAGAACAGACAGCTCACCATGTGGAAGATATAAATGGATAATTGTTCTAGTTTCTTTTTTGGATACTTTTTTTTCTTGATTTGTATATTAATACAATATTGCCAGAGTATGATATTTTAATTTTAACTGTATTAGAATGAATACATTTGGCAAATGTGTAATTCATATTCATTTAAAAAGATGTTGAATTTGTACATCTAGGCTCTAGGTGATACCGCTTGTGCTATAAATGTTTTATTAAATTGACATATTATTGCAAATTCTGATCTCAAACACTTAATGTGATCAGCAATTTGGGCAAGCCATCTAAAATAAGACTATACAGGCCATATATATTTGTGGTCGGGGCAATATTGCCGTAAGGGTAAGATAACATATAATTAGTAATAGACATCATAGTTAATAACAGCAGTCGGTTGTGGTGTGCCGGAACCGACAAGGCATTAGGCCTGTAAGAAAGAGGGCAAAAAGAAGTGTACCATACAAAATATATTCGTTCTACCATACTTCAAAGTTACTTGGATAAGTCACAAATGCCTGACAAATCCCTAACCAGTTCTGGTATATGTAATGTATAAGTGGATGAGGTGTTGGGTAGAGACCGTACCCTAGCAACTTGGGAACTCGAGACATACGACTATACAAAGCCACCATTAGTTTGATCCATATATTGCTATTGCCAAGTGGCGAAGAATTTAACTACTGAGGGTGACAGGTGAGGCACTGCTAGTTGCCAAGCGGCATGAGAGGCTCTATCTATGCATTGGCCTGAAGGGAGGTAGAGGCCACTGAAACGTGGGTGGCCAGGTGATGGCCTCTCGGTGTCTACTAAAGCATAAGAAAGAATGGGAGTGACAAGTTAGGCCCTCCCTATGCAACAATACGAGGTGAATAACTATGCATTGGGCCGGTGGTGTTGTCTTCTGAGTATGAGGGTACCTCTGAGTATGAGGATGGGTGTTGGCCTTGTGGGACCACTAGACTATGGCATAGAGGCCAGAAACCTACCATAGTGAGCACCTAGATCCCTAACAACCAGTACTATCTGCTAACAGGGGACCTCAGAGTGGGCCAGATCGTGGACCCATGTAGCATGGAGTCTGAGAACGTATGCCTCTGCGCGGCCGGGTCGTGGACCCTATTAGACTAGAGTCTGAGAACGTATGCCTCTGTGTGGCCAGATAGTGGATCCATTTAGAATAGCGACTGAAAACGTATACCTCTGTGAGAGCCAGATCATTTGGAATGGTGATTGAGAATGTATGCTACAGCATGGACCGGATCACGGACCGGAATAAGTAAAAGTGACCTACCCCACAGTTGGACAAGAGGCAAGAAAGGCAAATGCTGCCAGGAAGGACGAGCTCCCCGGCAGGACAATGGTTGGATGAAGCATGCCACCCAGATAAGCAAAACCTGGGCCTACACTATAGAGAAGGGAAACCGAGGAGGGTATAGAATCATGGTAAAAATAAGTACAAAACCGTGACCAACCCAGAAAAGACCAAAGGTTCAGAGCCATCTGGCGATCCAGGTCAAGGGACAGAGACCCAGTAACAAGAGTATACCAGCGAGTACCTAATAGAGCAAACCTCAACGCTGAAAAACGCCAATTAAGTGAATGGGATAGGCATACACCAGACGAGCGAGCAGGGGAGAGTCACTAGAAATAGCAAAATACACGTTGCTAAGTCACATATACCCACAATACAATGACAACCAGCTATTAGTATAGTAAGTGACATACCGTAATAATTTAACATGTGTGAGAAATATGCACCCATGACATATACCGGATTATGAAATGTGAAAACATAATGCACTCTGACCATATTTTTTTTCCCAATGTTACATTAAAGGTTGTGTCCTTTTACCTTTTTTTTTTTTTTTAATTTAGTTATTTATACATACTTCATGTATCAAAATAGAAAACTTACTATGGGGGGATTAACTATTACACACCATATGGGAATATATAACACACAATTTCACAATTCCCTGGCTGCGTGACTTATCAAACACCCTAGAGGTTTGACCAATAAAAAGACTGGTGATGGTAAACCTACCAGCTGGCTGAGCACCGAGAGTGCTAGATCCCATACCAGCTGAGCTCCATGCGAGTGGTAGACCCCATACCAGCTGGCTGAGCACCATGTGAATGGCAAACCCCATACCAGCCGGCTGAGCACCATGTGAGCCGCAGACACCAAACCAGCTGACCAAGCAACATGAGAGCGGCAGACATCAGACCAGCAGGCAGGGCACCATGAGAGTGGCAGAGACCATACCAGCTGGCTGAGCACCATAAGAATGGCAAACACCAGACCAGCTGGCTGAGCACCAAGAGAGTGGCAAACACCAGACCAGCTGGCTGAGCACCATGAGAGTGGCAGACACCATACCAGCTGGCCGAGCACCATAAGAGAGGCATACACCATACCAGTAGCCTGAGCACCATGAGCGAGGTAGACCACATACCAGCTGGCTGAGCATCACGTGAGTAGTAGACATCCCAGCAAGGGAGCCAGAGGTCAGGCATGGCAACTCACCGTGTAGCGATCAGACCTCATGGAAAAAACAGGCGCCCAGCAGCAGCAGGACCTCCGTGAAGTGATCGTACAGGTAAACCACGTGGGAGGGGAAGTTCAGCAATTGGCAAATGTGAATAAAAACGGGCAACAAGCCAGGAGACTGGACCAATGGGATACAGGTAAGTTCAACTCGCCAGACCAACCATGGTAAAGTGGAAGAGGATTGGATGCTGTTATAAAGGTGACCCAAGCCCTTCCCACAACTACAGGCGCAGCCTTAAATATGTGATAAACCTTCCTATGCATGGTAATGATCTACAGCAGTGCTGTGCAGTTTCTTTTATATGGAGAACAGTATTATATTGGACCACAATGCTTTGGAGGGACTATAAATGCACAATTTAATTGCACACCTTAAAGGGACACTGTAGGTACCCAGACCATTTCAGCTCATTGGTCTGGGTGCTGTGTCCCTTTTGCAACTAGTGCTGCAAGGTAAAACATTTCAGTTTCAGAGAACTGCAATGTTAACATTGCAGCCCTAAGTCTACCCTCAGTGGCTGTCTACCAGACAGTCACTGGGGGTGCTTCTAGAATCGAAACAAGGGCTTCCAGCATCAGATTTTTCCCCATAGGAAAGTATTGATTAATGCTTTCCTATGGGGAAATCCTTTGTTTTCCTGGCACTATAGGATCCCTTTAAATACAATTCCAGCTCACAGCATGTGCATACTGTCTGGATATTCACCATACAAATCTCTACTTTCCATGTTCTGCAGTCTAAGAGTGCCCAAGCTTTGTCACTGCTTATGTACAGCTACGTGGACACCATATGAAACAATGAATGGAGCTGACAATAGGATGACAGTAACCATAGTATGGATATTGTCAGTTTATTCAGCAGGTACGACTCGTTCAATCTGATGAGTAGACCTGCTGCTCCTTAGAATTTAACTGCATAAACACCTATTCTAGACAGTGTCTTATGTGGTAAGAACCCACAGTCATCTGGAAGGGGCTCTCTACTGCTTGCTTAAAGGGACTCTCCAGTGCCAGGAAAACAAATCAATTTTCCTGGTACTGCAGAATCCTGCAGTGCCCCCCTCTCTCCCACCCACCATCCCATATTGCTGAAGGGGTTAAAACTTTCCTTTGGGGATTACAGCGACACTGGAGGTCCTCATGCATAGCGTGAGGATGTTGAGCATCGTTTAAAACACTTTTTGTGTTTTAAGAACCTGGAAGAACCTCTAGTGACTGTCTGATGGACAGCCACTAGAGGAGGACTTAACCCTGCAAGGTAAATATTGCAGTTTATAAAAACCGCAATAATTACACTTGCAGGGTTAAGGGTGATTTGAGCTGGCACCCAGGCCACTCCAATGGGCAGCAGTGGTCTTGGTGCTTGAAGTGTCCCTTTAACTTGTGCCTCGTTTCCACTGAGCAGTATGGTTTGGGTCAGTATGGTTCGGAAGGATTAGAAAAGTCTAGCCTATTCAGGTGAGTGTTTCCACTGCAAGTCGGACCGCCAGGGAGCATGTGGGGTTTAGACCAAATGCCTAGCGTGTCAATTGTCGTGAGCATTGACGTTTTCCTGTCTGCCAATCAATGGGTTGTATAGTGTGACGCCAGCAGCTCCGCCCTAACCGTACTGTACCATTTCCTATGGACCTACATCTGAATGGGGCCCATGAATGGTCCGGTTGTATGTGCCACTTTCAGAATGGAAACACTCAAAATAGAGTACCAGACCGTACCGATCCAAATCGAACCACTCAGTGGAAACTCGGCATTGGATTAGCAGCAGAAGGAGGACATTCTATGTGAGTATCTTTTAATTTAAATGTTTTTAATTGTACTCATTTTGTTTCATTTTAATGTTGCACATATTTTAGTGCAATATATATATATAATCTTAGGGTGGCAGAACAGCTTAGTAAATAGTGTTCAAAGATATTTTCATAGTATGTTTAGTCAACACATTCATAACAATGTACTTTGCCCTACAGATCTTTGGTTACTAATTTTCCATTTTATGTTAATCCAGCCTTAAAATGTTGCTCTTAAATATTTGCAGGGTAAATGTCACTAAACAATACCTTTTATTTTGGAGATTGAGTAGGAAAGTTGACTGGTATGAAGAGTCTCTTGCTGTAGTGAACATCATGCCATCTCCTCATACTCTCTCATATGTCTTTTTCAATAGGTTGAGGGGAGAACCACCAATAGGTAACTGGCAGACTGGTGAGAAAACTGTGCCTATGTTGCTGACATCACCAACATAATATACATATAAAACAATTAATAAAAATGGTGGTAACACGATCCTGATGTCACTGTTAGCTGTGGAACATCTAGACAGCTTTGGTCTGTAGATGTTTAAACTTGTCCAAACTATGCAACTGTTAAAACTCATAAAAAAGGAACAGGTAACATAAAGTTAGTGAAGTATACATCGAGAGTCATGCAGAGCACATAAGGTGTGCCCCACTTAAAATATAATTGAGCAATGTGATTGAGCAATAACATAAATATTAAGAGGCAAATATTTTATTATTTGGTTACATGCAACTTGATTGTATTTGTAATTCAACTTATTCAAACATTAGGAACTGTACAAGCCACATTTGCATCACATGGGCCTTTTATGGCAACGTTTATGACAATAAATAATATTTGTAAATCCACAAACTAAGATTGCACAATCAAAATGTTTTTTTTTAAACTTTGCAGATTTATCAGAGACCAATTAATTACACTGCACATGACAGTACCAAGATGAAAAATGTGTTTTCCTTGTTTGCCTTTGTGTCCAAAAATAGGCTTTGGAAATGTGCAGACCAGTTCTGATGAACCCTCTGGTGTGTCAACTCAACTTCCCATGCACATCTGGTTTACGTGTCCAAGGATAATCCATGAATTCTGCATTCATCTTTGCACACCCTAGAAAATGGGAGGCGAGGATTCACCAGCAGCATTAATTTGTATTAAAAGAGGGAGATCTTAAGTCTACGAATATTTTCTTTGTAAGAATATGAAAAAATCATGTTTCACATCACAAATGTTGTGATATGTCTTTTTATTAATCTTATTTTATTCCAGATTGGTTATCGTGGCAGTTTTAGGATGAGGTTGGCGGTAACCTGAACTGAAAGTATAGCAGTTGTCCAATTTTAATAAGATAAAGGCAAGTTTACCAAGCAGAATTACATTCTTTAGGCCATATGACTGTGCTGGAAAAATTCTCAATTTTCAGACTTCTCATGGACTTGACAGAGAACTGTCCGAGTAGACAAACTTACAACAGTACCTTACAGTCTTCAAAAAATTCCAAACCCGCTTCTTTGATGACATAGCCACTTTGCACTAGCCTTAATCTTTACATGTTCTGGTCTACGCAGTCCTCTTCCAACCCAGTGCCCTAAATATAGAAACTCTGTTTTCCCCATATGACACTTGTGGCAAATAGTGATGTCTACAACTTGGACTCTATAAAGGATTGCCTGTAGATGGCGATGTCATTGATGTAGTTGAAACCATTGTTTGCTTATGAGCCATTGAAACATAGCCTAAGCATTCTTCATCCCAAAGGGTGCTATAATTGCGAACATACCAGGCATGTCAGGTTTGAGAGAGATCAAAGATGCTAAGATGCTCTTGCAAGTTTCTAATTCTAGGTAGTGGATAAGCGGGAGGTTCTGTCAGCTCCACGATACTATTGCGATATTTTAGGCAGAACATCTGAACTCCGTCAGGACTATAATCCTTTTGTGTGCCCATACAGCACTGCGAACAGGAAGTGAGCCAAGAACCTCTTAATTAGACTTAGTGCAACTCTTTAGAGTTTAGCGGACCCCTGGATGTTCGGGTCCTGCGGGTTCGTGATCGAACTTGACTCCGAATTTGACCCCAAACAAAAATGCCCCAAAAAAAGTCCTGGAAAGGGCTAGAGGGCTGCAAAAGGAAGTAAAATGGAGGTAAGAGAAGGACAAGTGCCCTGCAAACAAATGTGGATAGGGAAATCACTTAAAATAACAATAAAAATAAAAATACAGCTGAGCCATAAAATAGCACTAGATGGAATCTTTGATTTTAGCTTTAAAAGAACATAAATCAAAATCTAAAGCATGGCTGTCAGGAGGATCACCAGAATTGTCCATTAGAGATGGTTGGAGTGCAGGGTATTCTCTTTTATTGTTCAAACTGAGCTCAACTCCTGATGCATGGAGAAAAGGCCTTCACAAGCCTCTGCTATTGTGTACATAGTTTATACTAAGTGACCCATAGGTTGAGGAAGCGGTGACCGTGGCGGTGTAGGTGGAAGCAGCGGTGGAGGAGGAGGAGGTAGCCAATACTGTTTTATGTATATATATATTTTTAATTGAGGTATCCCCCAAAATATTGGGACATATAAAAAAAAAAGAAACATTTGCGGCCTGCGGTGTATTTCTTGCAGTCCTGATGCATGGAGAAAAGGCCTTCACAAGTCTCTGCTATTGTGTACATAGTTTATACTAAGTGACCCATAGGTTGAGGAGGCGGTGACCGTGGCGGTGTAGGTGGAAGCGACGGTGGAGGAGGAGGAGGTAGCCAACATTGTTTTTTATTTTTTTATTTTTTTTTGTTTTTTAATTGGGGTAGCCCCAAAATATTGGGACATATAAAAAAAAAGAAAACTCTGCCCCTTGCTCCCCACCTACCCACTGTGCCCCTTGCTCTCCCACCTACCCAATGTGCTCCTTGCACTCCCACCTACCCGCTGTGCCCCTTGCTTTCCCACCTAACTGCTGTGACCCTTGCTTCCCAGCTACCACCACTGTGCCCTCTCTCCCCCAGCTAACACCACTGTGCCCCCTCTCCCCCTGCTACCACTGTGCCCTTTTGCCCCAACTACTACTACTGTGCCCTTACTCCTCCAGCTACTACCACTGTGCCCCCTCTCCCCAGCTACCCTCTGTGCCCCTGCTACTCCACCTTCCCACTGTGCCTCTGCTCCTCCAGTTACCCACTGTGACCCTGCTCTCCTACCTATCACTACACTACCCCTGCTCCCCCACTTTGCCCCATGTTCCCCCACCCACCACTACATTACCTCTGCTCCACAACCTACCAATACTCTACAATCTCTCCCACAGTTACCACCACTGTGCCACCTGGTCCCCCACCTACCACCATTGTGCCCCCTGCTCCCCTACACTGCCCCTATTCCCCCAGCTACCACTACACTACTGCTGCTCCCCGACTGATCCCCCTGCTCCCCACTAGTGATGTCGCGAACCCGAAATTTTCGGTTCGCGAACGGCGAACGCGAACTTCCGCAAATGTTCGCGAACCGGCGAACCGCCCGATAGACTTCAATGGGCAGGCGAATTTTAAAACACACAGGGACTCTTTCTGGCCACAATAGGGATGGAAAAGTTGTTTCAAGGGGACTAACACCTGGACTGTGGCATGCCGGAGGGGGATCCATGGCAAAACTCCCATGGAAAATTACACAGTTGATACAGAGTCTGGTTTTAATCCATAAGGGGCAGAAATCACCTAACATTCCTAAATCACAATCAATATGGATTGACACCTGACATATGACATATTGACACCTTGACATATGGATTGACACCTGTCCTCAGAGCCCTGATGCACACTGGACACAGAGCAGAATAGAGACTGTTCCCCCTACATAGGGTCACTTGGCAGATATGGATTGACACCTGTCCTAAGGATCCCTGATACACACTGACACAGAGCAGAATAGGGACTGTTCCCCTGCATAGGGTCACTTGGCAGATATGGATTGACACCTGTCCTAAGGTTCCCTGATACACACTGACACAGAGCAGAATAGGGACTGGTCCCCCTACATAGGGTCACTTGGCAGATATGGATTGACACCTTGTTACAAACTGCTATTTGTAACGGGCCCTTTAAATGGCAAATTGCCCTGCTTCCCTGGGTTGTGGAGAAGCCTACTTGCCAGCCTCCTCCCGCATGACTATGGCCCCTGGGAGATTGTGAAAATGTATGCACTTTTATTTGGTGTGTATGGCCCTTTAAGACTGTCGGTGGGCATATTGGGGCTTATGGACTCTTTATGTGACTGGTGCTGGCCCTTTAAACACCTTTTTTGGGACATCAGGAAGATTGGGACACTGCCCCTTTAAGGCTGTGTCCCCAGACTTGTTGGGGACACGGCCCCTTTAAGACGGTGTCCCCTGTGTCCCCAGACCTGGTGCAAACCCTTTGTGCCTGCCTTGCTATTTCCCACTTGGTTCAGTAAATGGGAAATTATTTCAGCTGCAGAGACTAAGTCCCATTCGGCGATGGGACTTAGTCTTTTTTTCAGCCGTTTTTTTCAGCCTTATTTCAGCTGCAGAGACTAAGTCCCATTCGCGATGGGACTTAGTCGTTTTTTCAACCTGAAATAGACCGACCTCACAGCCCAAATCTATGGAACTGTTTTGGGCAGGAAAATGTGCTTGCAGTCGGTCATAAAGGGACCTACAGCTAACTTTTTAACCCCTGGATGGATTTGGCTGATTTTTTGGTTATGTTTATGTTTTAAGTGTGCTGATTTCAAATATGTAATTATGAAGATGGGATGTGTAGTTTTAAAGTTACAGGGTATGGCTAAAAAC